AAATAAAATTTGTTATTTGTTATAAACTAATGGTGAATCTCAATGAAACTTTGCATAAGTCATGTTTAGTACTTAATATATTTATATAAAAACATTTAGATTTTTCTTATTATTTTAACAATTTTTGTTTATTACAATAAAACTAATAAAATAAATAACCTATAAAAATGTGTCGCTCAATAGAACCAGAATGTTATGAACACAACTTTCACATGTATGTAGTTTGTTTAAAGCGAAAATATTAATATATGTGTTTTATGCCCTTACAACCTCCTTAAATTGACAAAATCCTTTCTCTCAGTGAAGCGTCACCATTTTCCTCCGAGAATATTAATTAAAAGTAACTTGGGAAGAACGCTTCAAACGCATTTTGAAATTTCGAAGAATGGACGTCTCGGAAAGTATGTATGTAACGTTCTAAATATATAACGTTATATGTTTCCCGCAATGTCCTTTATAGGCCATACGTCACTCTTGTTCGTCGCATTCTCGCGTTGCAGATACCCGAGCTCATAGTTCCGTTTGCTGCTTTTTACAGTGAATTGCGCGGAGGGGCAATAGGCAGGCCGTATCATGTGAAACGTTATTACATCCGACACTTTATTCGCTCTATCGCTGCTGGTACAGACCAGGGCATTCCGCTGAATTCCGCGAGTGCCGCGAGCGTCCGTGCAATGTAATTTACTGCGGCAATGTAAGAGTAACGTACAGCGCGTATGTATGTTTGTATGTGTTTGCATTTGTATCGATCGTACATCGAGATAATTACAATGCGGCACGTATGAGTGTCGCATCCTTCCTGCACTTTGATAAGAAGTGTTTCGCGGATTGCAATTCAGACACGACCCGGCTTATAATTGGGATGTGCGCCTCCAAAAAGGATGCCACCGTGCAAATTAGATTCAGCTTTGTTGCTGGTTAATCCCTCTGGACATCCCGTTATTTAACCCTTAGATATCCCAGCATTTCAAATTAACGTAAAATACACAGTGTATATATGATTTCGAAAAAACCTCGTTGTTTTAATCAATTAATAATTTCGGAACATTTAAGGCACACAGTACGCC